CACCTCAAGCTCAACCTTGACAAGACTGAACTGCTTTTCCTTCCGGGAAAAGATTGTCCCACTCTTGACCTAACAATCAACATCGGCCCCTCTGTTGTTTCCCCGACTCAGACTGCAAGGAATCTGGGTGTGACCCTAGGTAACAAACTGTCCTTCACTGCAAACATCTCTGCTACAACCCGCTGCAGCAGATACACTCTTTACAACATCAGGAGGATACGTCCCCAGCTGACCCAGAAAAAGACGCAGGTTCTGGTCCAGGATCTCGTCATCTCACGCCTAGACTACTGCAACTCCCTCCTGGCTGGTCTACCTGCATGTGCCATCCGACCTCTGCAGCTCATCCAGAATGCAGCGGCTCGTCTGGTCTTCAACCTTCCTAAATGTTCCCACACCACGCCGCTCCTCCGCTCCCTTCACTGGCTTCCAGTAACTGCTAGAATCCACTTCAAGACACTGGTACTTGCGTACCATGCTGCGAATGGATCTGGCCCTTCCTACTTCCAGGACATGGTTAAACCGTACACCCCAGCACGTGCACTCCGCTCTGCATCAGCCAAACAGCTCGCTGCACCCGCACTGCGAGGGGGACCCAAGTTCCCATCAGCAGAAAACTCGTGGGTTTGCTATCCTGGCTCCAAAATGGTGGAATGAGCTCCCCATTGAAATCAGGACAGCAGAAAGCTTACACATCTTCTTCAGACTCAGTAAAGTTAAGTGTTACTGTAATCAGACTACATGCGTCTGTAACTCAATAAAGTGAAGTGTTACTGTAATCAGACTACATGCGTCTGTAACTCAGTAAAGTTAAGTATTACGTGTAATCAGACTACATGCATCTATAACTCAGTAAAGTGAAGTGTTACTGTAATCTGATTACATGTGTCTATAACTCAGTAAAGTGAAGTGTGACTGTAATCAGATTACATGCCTCTGTAACTCAATAAAGTGAAGTGTTACTGTAATCAGANGCACGTTTTTTTTTCCATCTTGATTCTGTACTATTTTAAGATGTGTCCTGTCCTGGGTTATGAAGACGTATATCAAACGTGTTAGGGAATAATTTGCTTAGGTATTCAACCTTCCACACAGTTCATCATGTTCTCCTCTCACTGTCTCCTTTCCCATGGCATAGGTCTACGGCCTTGGGTATTGCTGNCTGTGTGCCTTGGCAGTCTCAGCACATCCAAAATAAATCAGCTACATCACATGTTTTTGAAGACGATATGAGGCTGGAAATAAGCTGCTGCATTATTGAAGGAACATGGCTGATTTAAGGAACATCCGAAAGAACATTTAGCAGTCAGTCAGTTGTTTGAATCAGAAAGTATAATCAAAAATAAACTGTATATTGTAATCACTTATTCTGATATTAGTCAGAAATTATACTTTATACTGTATCAAATGCAGCTATTGGGTATATATGTTGGCATGTAAAATACTGCACATACAATGTTTCACTGCAGTACCAATGACTGATTAATGCTAATATTTAAACATCTAGGATGCAAATATAATGATCTCCATAAAATGATAAATACATATCTTGATGCATAGCACAAAAAAATCAAATTTTAGTGATGACGTTATTCTTTAAGGAGCCTCAAACTGTGGTGAACATTGCTGCATAGCCTATACATCTACATGAATCCAGCCCTATCAAGAACTGCTAGGGTGTGAATGCGTGTACAAGTACATTTTGCACCCATCCCTTGACAACCTATGTAAATGAAATAAATATAAAATACCAATTACAGAATGTTATCCCTCACCTGTCATCTCAGGGCAGCTAGAAGCCACTTCAGTCATGTCAAATGTCGTCGAGTGTTTTCATCAGAGGGACCTGATAGGAGATAGAGAGCCGGAGAAACACTCACAGGAGACCGCCGGAGAAACACAATGACTCAGGGAAAAGAATACGGAGGAAAATATGATGGGGAGCGGGTAAGAGAGACGGAGAGGGGAGGGGGAGAACCGTATGCCTCCGAGCTAGCTTAAATGGCACTTGTCATAGTATAGCTACGGTTAAGGTCGTTTAAACACGTTTAAGTGTCAATACTGTGGCCAAAATAATGGCTGGATCAATGGCGGAAAAGAAACCGTGGGGTCTACTTTCTTCCTACCTTCAACAAATGACCTTCGACAAAAAAAAGAAATATTATTAATAACTGGAGGTAAAATGTCACTCTTTCTTTTAACAACACAAAAAATTGCTTATTTCGTATACATTTAAAATAAATATACTTGTTGTTTGGTCGGATCACCAGTCTGTCAGAACGAACACGAACCTGCAAACCGCATCACAAAAATTTGGCCAATTTACAATTGAATGCGCCAAAAGAATAAGAAGAAAAAGACATTGCTGACGCTGTTCACATGTTGCTTAGCAACCTTCGGCGTTAGACTTTTGTTGCCTGTCGGAATAATAAATAATAGTCAGTCAAAGTAGTAAAATACAATTCAAACCTTTTTATTAACTTTATAAATGTTCATATTGTTTTTGTGTGTTTACTTTGTTGATTTCTCATTCCATAATGGCATATTTTAAGCAAATAGAATGTCAAAAATACATTTTTATAATAAAATATATTAATAATTGTTTATGCACTCTCACGTGCCTTGATTTGGCGCCGCTTCTTTGGCCCGTGCCAGAGCACACGTGCCAGGCACAAGCAAGCCCCAGCGGCGCAGTGACGTAATTCTGAGGCAGGCGTGCAATATGGGTCACTCATGCTCATACTGCCACAATACTATTAATAACTACACTAAGTATTTTATTGGAAACCAGCATGAAGCGCTTATTTTAGCATGTGCATACTGCTAAATACAAATGCACACATGGTTGAGTGTAGATTGCATACAAAGATACGTGCTGTGTTAACAAAGAAACAAATCTGTTCATTAAAAATGTATTAAAATGCATTAGAAATGGCAACAATTGCAAGCAGTAATGGAAGAAGTATTCAGAAGCTTTAGTTGAATCATTTTTAGGTCTTCAATGTCGAGTGAAAGTAGCTATCATAATGTAGAAATACTGTTACAAGAAAGTCATGCATTATTAGGAACTAGCATCAAATATAATAATAATAATACATTTGATTTATATAGCACTTTTCCTGGTGCTCAAAGCACTTAAATATAGGCTGTATACTTTTACAATGACCCATTTTAGAATCACGTTTAGTATATAATATAACTAGTATAAAAGTATTGGTGCATTAGTGTGTAAACAATGTGTAGAACAAGGCAGATTTATTATATTTGTATTATAGTAGCAGAACATTTAAATACTTAACTGAAGATGAAATATCTAAAACTGTACTTAAAACTATATATTTTTAGCCCATGTTTTATTTTACTTTTTGGGAGGATCCTGTAAAATGTGCACATTTTGTGAAAAAAATTAAATTAGACAAGATATCTCTGAAACATTGGGCACAAAACACTAGCTCCCAATCCTCACTAGGGGTCGCCAAAGCCTGACAGGGCCTTTTTCATTTAAATTGTGTAACTATTCAATTAGACAATATCTCAGCATTTCTTGCTTTTCTGTGAAAGAAAATACATTCAATATTTACATTTAAATGCTTTACCTGAACCTCATCATGACTAGAGAGACGGAGAGGAGAGGACGGCAGGATCGTAATTTCCCGTGTTCAGTGAATGCAATTATGTAAAATATTCTTTCCAAGGGTTCATATGATCATTATAGTTATAAAAAAAATAACAGAATAAAGGAAAAACTGTTATGAAATACTATGACAGTAAAACAAGAATACAGTTTAAAAGGAGAGTGATTTGTAAAATATCCATAAAGAAAAAGTAAATCTGTTTACAGTTCTGTTTCAAATGGGTGTTGAGAGATGTATCCATAGATCTCTTCATGTTGCTCTCAACGTGCACCAGATTGATGCTTTTAACTTCAATATTTAAAAATCTCAGGGGGGCATGCCCCCGGACCCTCCTTGAGGATATTAGGTCCACTCCCCACTTATAAAAATAGTACTTTACCCCTGCTTACACCTATATGCCGTGAGCTGATTATCGAGCCTTCATTTTAACAGTCGCGGGCATACTGTGTACAGTATGTGCGCGTGGGGATTGTTGCAGTAGAAAATTCCACTGTAGCGCGGCACCCAGTACCTTAATGGGAAACCCTACATGTTTGAGCACCCTCTATGAAACGTCAACCCCACAGCACCCCCAAAAGAAAATCTCTGGTGTGGGCTAAGCCCCTAATGTTTCCAGGTCCAGGAAACGCCCCTGGGAAGCACACAGAAATAAAAACACACCTGATGGCTCAGGAGCTGCATGGGACTCAGCTCTTTGCTCAAGGACACATCAGCTAATAAAGTTATTTCTCTAATGACAGAAATGGAACCTGGGTGTACATATCGTTCCCTTTCAACATCCAGCTCTGTAAATCGTGAGGGGCTTCATCTCTACTTTAGCTCAAGCTCGCCACCTGCAGGAAGTGTGTCAAAAAAACACCCGGTTAATGGAGTTAAGATCTTTATTGGAAACCCAGCCTTCAAACATCTTTTTAGTCATTCATTGTTACAGCAACAACAGCGACAGACTCCATGTACACTACAGCAGCGATTCCCAAACTGAGGGAGGAAAATAAACGACTATACATGTGATATTTTCTTTTCTTAGAGTGAGAGCTGTGATCTGAGGTTACTGATGGAAAGATTTTGGAACCGCTGCTCTAGTTGTGTGTTTGTGTGTGTTGAAGCCGCAGAGCAAGCAGCGAAGAGTTCAAAACAGAACATGATAACAAACAGAAAAGACAAATAAGGGAAACGATAGAAAAATACATTTAGTTTCTTCTTCTGATTTCAATCTTAAAAACGATGTCAGTGGAAAACGCTTACGAAAAGATGCAGAGCCGTACTCAAAGTGTTTTTTTTTTCTTCAGTCATTAATAAACAGCTTTCAAACCGTCTAAAACTGCCTCACAGGCTACAACTACATTAATACAGACTGCCAGAGTAAAACACAAACATGGTTTATCTTTTTATTGACGAATCCTGAGATTCGGTACTTCTTGCTAAATTCCACATAGTGCGAAATCAATATAAATACATTTTTTAAAAGATGGTGCATCTGGTGTGAGATATTTTGCAGTCGTGGTATCGTCGAGAGAGTAAGTGTTTCAAGGACAATACAATAAAAAAAATGAAGATGGCTAATTTGCCGTTGATGTTAGAAGAAAAAATAAAAAAGGTGAAAATCTAGCATCCAGACATTCACCCTAAATATAACGCTGGTGATCAGCCTACTCTTGATTCTCCAATCCAACTGCATGAAGTACTAGCAGCTTCTCATTCATTCAACAATAAACTCAAGAGTCCGTTTTTCAAGAATGATTTTCCCCCTACGTGAAAAGCACTTTAAGTTCTTAAAAACAACAAAGATGTTTATTGAAGGTTAACAAAATGGAATCAATTGAAACATTTTAATAAACTGTATTGGATTGGCATAGGCTGATCTTAATGAAAAATAAGAACTGTAGATTCGGTGTATCGGCTCAAAATATACCAATTGGCGCATCTCTTGTAAAATCCCAACGTCCCCCTCCAGTAGCAGTCTTTAGATCTGAAGAGAGAAAACAGAAATATTTCATTTTTATTATGGTCTTTCAAGTATTTTCTTTCTTGTGCCGTTAGCCATAAAACTTGTTCTGCAAGTAACACAGATCTATGCATATAGACCGTCTATTTACAGTGTGCTATTGCTACTTTAATAAAAGTCAAGGTTCTCAATAGTCAATCAATTGATAATTATTTCCTTTCACTTTTGACAAAGTTCTTCTTTACGGCTGCTTGACAAGCATTTGACTTAAGGTATATAAAAAAAACGAATAGTGTCACTATTAAACACCGCAGAGTAGTTCATTGTAAAATGAGATAAGCTTACATCATCAATGTCATCTTCATCGTCGCCAATGTCATCAAACTGGATCTCATCATCGTCTCCGGGCCCGAAGNGTATATAAAAAAAACGAATAGTGTCACTATCAAACACCGCGGAGTAGTTCATTGGCTGACCTGTGCTGCAAGCTGTATGTTTTTAGTAGTTATGTTTTTAAACTGTGTTTTGCTTTTAACTATGTTTGTAAAAAAACTGTTTTTAACCTTGTTGTACGGCGACCTTGAGTGCCTTGAAAGGCGCCTTATAAAATAAATGCATTATTATTATTATTATTATTGTAAAATGAGATAAGCTTACATCATCAATGTCATCTTCATCGTCGCCAATGTCATCAAACTGGATCTCATCATCGTCTCCGGGCCCGAAGGTGTCCGTCTCGTTGATTTTGGCTGCGAGAAGGAAGATGGAGGGAAAGAGTTAGAAAGAAAATACAATACATGTTAACAGAGCAGATTGAACACTGAACATGATTTGTAAAAAAAAACATAAAAATAAGTTTAAATAAAAGGTCCAGACAGTGAGAACCTCTGCTGTTTAAAGTCAGAAACTCGAAAAAATGTTTCACCAATATAGCCGTTCTTTAAAATCGCAGCAGTCTGGTCAGCTTTAGGCCCAGTTAACCTCAGGTTATAGGCACAACAATAGATACATAACCAACAGCTGTGGTTTTGGTTTGACTCACCATGCTCGGGCAGCTCTCCGTATGCTTTCAAACTGCGAGCCTCGTCTGCGTTGTACTTCAGAATCACGTCAGCTTTGTTGTCCTGAAACACAAAACGATGACGTAATGTTTAGGTTAAACATAAAAACCAAGTGCTTAAAATGAGCGACAAGAAAGGCAGTAAGTACATTACTACGATATTAAGGCTTGGGTAGAATACTCTTTTGTCTGAGTTTAATTTACATTTGGTGTTTGTTTTTTTACTAAGTACTATATAAAAGGGAGTAACTGGATTTTATATTGGTTTAAGATGAACTCGTTAAAAAAAGACAAAAAAAAACGTCTCGTACTTTTCACGTTATCAAAATGATATTCAACTGTAACAGTAATTTAGTAGCGGTTCCTTCATTAACTTTAGAACCCATAAAAGGTTAAATGCAGCAGAAATGTTAGTGTTTTATTATCCTAAAAGACAGCCATAAGACGCGTGGTGTCTTTATAATTAGAGTTATCCAAGCATTATATACAGGGGTGCACATAACTTTCTCAGTGAGGTACTCAGATGAGTACCTGGAGTCGAGTCAGTGTTTGGTACTCCAACTTCTGGCTCCACTCAAAATTATTTGATGAAGACCTCTGTATCGCGAACGTCAACGGGGTGACATGACCACAGAGCGTGAACGTTGTGATCAGCTGTTTTAGCGCAGTTCTCCAGTGAGGGGGGGGAGGGGGGGGATCTCCCTCCGCAGCCGGTTGGCGTAGTTTTGGCACAATTCCGTTGTACAGACCGACGTCAACAGCAGCCCTGTCTGTGCACACGGTGATCTAACCGCCTTCTGGAAAAGCTTCTCAAGTACGTCGGTACGCAAATGCGCTTTGTGACACAAGTGACGGTACGCATTTCAGATTGTTGCCGCGCATGCGTACCTGAGTACCAGTTAAGTGCACCCCTGATTATATACACGTATATTGTCTTTATTCGTATCTGTGTTGTGTGTGAGGGAAATACACACCTGGTAATCTCTCAGTCCCACCAGAATGATATCTGACGTGTTAATCCAGACCTGGAGGAAACAAAAAGATCAGAGATTACCCACCCGCTGTCACACTCTGCACTTTGTGACCCTCAATGGGTTCCATGCAGACACATTACGGGCGGCTCACTGACCACTGAGAACACACCGACTCAGCATCCCGTCAGGAGGTTTCCTGTGTGTGCTGGTCGGGGGGAAAAGGTGCGAGAGGACTGTCGGGACATTCCTACCTTTTTTCGGAGTTTTCCTCTGATGTGACAGAGCCGCTTGGTTCCATCAAAGCACATGGCCTCCAGACGCCCGTTCCCCAACATCTTTATCACCTGAGCATACTCTGGAAGAGACGAGAGAGGGAGGTCAAAGAAAACACACTAAAGAAAACAACCTTAAAATGAGAGATTACATCAACAAAGTGACTGTTCTATCAAGAATAACAGGCAGGCACCAAGTGATTATGGGATGGTATAGGTTTATCATATTGAGGGGAAAAAACACTCGCAATAAGTGGTACATTTCAATTAAAATGTTCATAACTTTGATTATCCTTACTGACTAAAAAAAAAGGCCAAAGAAAATAGAAAAATGTATTATGGTCCCCAAAAAAAATAGTAGCAGCGAGCACTGCAGACGATCTGAACACTGACTGCAGGGGGTTACTACCATCTAATGAGACGTTCAGTGACAACGTTCCCAAAAAACCTTCAAGTTTTAACATTATGAGTTTTTGGCTAAGAATTCGTAATTGTAGTCAACTGAATATATAGGTTATGTTTTTATTATTTATTAGATTTCATCAGATTCCTCTAAACTGCTGCATTGTTGTTAAAGCTACACATGTCAAACTGAAAATTAACGACTAGTTTCCTTACTATACAATTGTGGCAGCCCGACAGTTTAGAACACTTCTTTTTGCTAAATGAATGACTGTTACACATTTTCATCTTCATTAACACTCAGTCAACATACAACTCTGAGGTTTTCAGTCTATACGTTTAATTTAATCAAAATGTCTTAAAGCCCGAGCTTAGGATTTCAAACTGCTTGTATTGTGCAACCAACGGCTTAAAATATTCAATATCATGGAAGAAAACCAAAACAAATTTGAGACACTGGAATCAGCTATTTGTTTTGCCCTTTTGGCTGAAAATCGATGATTAGATCATGTTTACATTTACAACACTTTTTCTGATTATAGACTAACGTCAAGGATTTACTCAGATGGGTGATTTCCCCTGTTTTTATCCGATGTAAATTACTAACAACATTTATTTTATCTACCAACAGGGATAGTGACTGCAGTCGACCCATATTGACTTATTCAGACCAAATGCGAACAGTTTAACTCTGTGTCCTGGATTTGCTTACAAGTCAAACCAAACACACATCCCCGGGAAAAAAGATGGACCTTTGGTGCCATTGTCCAGGAAGCAGCTGGCTCCAATAACCCCGATCACCTGAAGAAACGGTACTCACCCTGTCCGTCCTCTTTGAACACCAGTTCTCTCTTCTCAGACTCATTTTCGTTCTTTCCACGTCGCCTATTCTTTCCTCCCTTTCCTAGGAACATAGAAAAAAAAAGATGGTTATTAATGTTATCCATTTATATATATATAATACATTTTTCTCACTGAGGATGGGGAAAGTGTATCAGTTAGCTCTTAGGTACAGCTACTTCTCATACGTTTTATAAACACATTTTCTCCACAATCTTAAGTAGTTATTAATATAACACGTGATAAACACTAGTGTCAACACGGGTAAAATGTTACCTAGTACATTTACTTGTACACAAATTTAAAAGATAATTGTCTCTTTGTACACAACTACCAGTTAGAAGAGAATAATGAACATTATCCTCAACCGCACTAATCTGCCAGCTAGTGACTTAAAAAAAACTATGTTTACATCAAATATTATAAAGTATGATATTTCAGTTACAACGAAACTAATCTACTTTGTTTACATAAGGAAAGCTGAAACCTAAAGCAAATTAATCTGTTCTTGGTTAGAGAAAATAACCAGCAGATGAATCCATGATGAAAATAATCATTAGTTAATAATAAAAAATAACCATTAGTAATAACAATCAGATGATCTAAAATAGTAATATAACAGTACCAGGGGACTTTTAACAGTACGAGCATTTACCCGATTATATCCTAACGCTTGTATTGGGGAAACATTCTTAATGAAGGGCTTTTAGCTTTAGTCAAGCCTTTTACAGTGTGGCATTAGTACTTAAATAAAAAGGATCTGAATACTAAATGGTAAGAACAGAAGCTTAGGTTTAGGTCGCCTTGCTAGTAAAACGTTTAGGTCGCCTTGCTAGTAAACACAAATAGGCAACATTCTAAAGACGTTAGATTTATCAAAGTAGTTTAATATCCAGGAACAAAGATACCATGTTGGCGTTTATTGTGAAATTAAAGTCGCAGCAGTCACAGGCCTCAACAGGGTGGGGTGAGCAACTAGCTACTTAGCTAGCAACGGTATTAAACTGCTAAGCACGTTAGCCATTAGCCGGCTGGCAGGCACAAAGTGTTTAACAACTTCATTTAGCCTAGACTAAATTCATCATGATCTCAGCCGAATGTATGTTTACATAGTTAGTTACACAGAGAAACTCGTGACATTTGATTAAAAACACTCATAGTTCCGTGTTAATAAAAGATCAAATAAAATGCATTAGAAAATCTTGATGCTAACTAGCGTTAGCTGGTCGGTGTCACGTTTTCACTGCGTGTGTCTTCACGGCGGACTCGACAGACAATCAACAATACAGACACACTATTCCTCCGTCTCTTACCTTTATTCTTGGGCATATTCTTTTAAGCCTTGGTCACGTTAATCCTGCTCGTAGAAACGACGTACAGTTAATAAACGAGAACTGTGTACAACAGTCAGTTCTAAATTGACTGAACCGTACCAAGAAACTAGCTAGTCACCGCTGATTCGCTCCGCCGGTTTGCGCATGCGCCTTCCAAGACATTCAAAACCACGTTGCTTTATTGTAAAAGGTGATTGTTACAGAGACAAAAGCCTGCAGAACTCCCAAACACTTGACCATCAAATGAGGAAAGAGATAGCCTGACACTTGGTCAAATTATTATTTTTCAATTCATTGTCTTTAAATTATAAAGGGCTACATTTAAAGTAATATTTACTTGTTAAATGCAGGTATTTTAATTGTAACAAGAGTATTTCTACAGTGTGGTATTAATGCTGAATACTTCGTCCACCAATGAATGATAATGACTTCCAACATGTATTTTTAATCAGTATCAGATTCCCCTGCAATAACTATTCATTGCAACGGTGTATCCCTCCGCGCCAGCAGGGGGAGGAACTCGCTGCGCTGAGACTTTACTGTGTTTATTTCCCCAGAACAACATTTAACATTTTGCAGGAGCTGAGCTACTGATCGGGACCTTTTAACCCTCCTGCAACGCACACAGCTAAATTATCTCATGGTTTATACATTTAGAAGTGCATTTCACCTCTGTGTTTTTGCAGAAAAATAGCAAAGTGACGTAAAGTTTTAAAAGGTGATATTTATTCGACTGTTGACTTGGAGTCACGTTAGCTAGCGTGTTACTAAGCTAGCTGCAGTTTTGTTTTTAGCACAACGAGGTTTGTCTGTGATGGCTGACTTTAGCAGGACAATGGTGAGTTAAATTTCGCCGCTTCTCTTTGTGGTAAATACAACTGGATATTATATGCGGCGTTTTCCATATTAGCAACAACGTACTAAAGTGCTGAAGGCTACTTAAAGAGCCACTTGCAGGTTTTTTTTTTACTGCATTTATACTTAACCTTGCCTGAAAATTACAATAAAAAAAGTTAAGGCAGGATTTTACATGTTTTACGAGACATAAGGGCAGGAATTCAGAGGGGAAAGTAGCCGTTTTGAGCTCTGCTACTAACAACTTTTTAAAAACGTCATACGTCAAACGCGTCATATTACCTCACAAAGGGGAGCAACCTTCTCGGACTCCTTCTCTGACCGCGCCCCGGTAGTAGTTTGTTTGAGGGGATGTGATTTAGTGAGCTGGTATTTTTTCGCTAGTTTTACATCATGGTGTGCTGTTGTGTTTGTGCTGGTTGCACAAACTCCAGCCTGTCAGGACATCGAGTCCACAATTTCCCTAACAGGAGAAGGACCGCCGCTAGCTTTCGTTCCTGGGTGCGTTTTGTGCAGGTGAACAGACGGGACTTCACTAGCGCATCTGCGACGAAAAACGCGGTCGTTTGTGGCGCTCATTTTAGACAGGAGGATTATGATGCAGGTGATGTGATGCAGTTCAGGATGGGATATCGAAGCCAGGACCGTGTGAGGCTGATAGCTAGTGCGGTTCCGTCAATACAACCAGCTTCTTTATCAGCTCCGGTGGTGGCAGCATCAGCAGCAGCAGCAGCAGCCGGTGGCGGGAGTGATGGTCAAGGATTGGTCAGAAAATCTGAGGTACTTTACTTGGCAAACGTACTTTACTTTGTAAAAGTACCTCAGAGTATTCTCTTGCAAATTCTTTTTACATAGTAAAAACTTTTTCTCTTCTACATTTGTTGCCTAACACCTGAAGATTAATGCGCACAAGACGTAAAAAAATATAAAGTTTTTTATGAACTGGTTTATTTGTGTTCTTTTATGGTTGTTTTGTGCATATAAATATATAAATAAAGGCTAGATGACTCAAGGGGGAGTCGCCAGCGTAGCTCACCGGTGGCCATCTTGCCACTGTCAACAACTACTGCTACAGCTGTTGTAAGGTGAGTGATCTGCACAAAAATACTCAACTCGCTGAAATGTTGACTGATTTACAAACGGTTTGGTTTATTATAAACGTTATTAGCATGGCTATGATACCGGAGACAACAAGACATGTTGGGGAAAAAAGTCCATGATTATAAGTATGCAGTATCATAACTACATATTTGATGTTTATAACAAACCAAACCGTTTTAAAATTGGTTGAAAATTGAGCAAGCTATGGTTATTTCAATAGTGCACCATAGACACAATGTTATGAATGAGGGAGCTGCCTGTGGCAAGATGGCCGCCATGTGGCAACGTCGGTCTCCATTGGCCAGCAGCGCGGGTGAGTCATCTAGCGTTTATATATATATCTATGGTTTTCTAGGTGTTTTCTGTTCTCTATTGTTTAGCTAAAGAAGGGAAGAAAGATGATATCCTACAGTGTTGTGGCATATTATAATTGTTTTGCTTACATGTGTTTTTAAGCATTATATTCATAACATAAACCTGCTCACGTTTTCTAAATAACATTGGTATATAATTGAATCAATAGAAAGGAAAAGGTGATAATTTGAAGTTTGAAATTGCATGGAAAAAACTGAAAACACAAAATGAAATATTTGATAATAGTCAAAAATAGTTTTAACAATTTCCCAAAAATCAAAGTCGGTACTCAGAATAAAACCAGAACACATTCATATTTTAAGATGCTGTAACCAGTGGCTTTACTTCACCTCTTTAAAAAAAGGATTGATTCAGATGTTAATTCATCACCAAATAGTTGCACAATATTTTCCTGTTCATCAACATAGTTAGAAAACAAAATGCATGTTCTGTTGGATCTGAGTTAATCTGTTGCCTGAAAACATAACAATTTATATATTTTTTCCGTGTTTAGATTTCTTCTGAACACCCTGCGGTTGCGGGTGGGCTTGCAGGAAAGTCCACTTCGTCCTCTGGAGTGAAAGGAAACATAAACCGGGACTGTGACAGCAGCTTGGATCAGATCACGGTTGTGAGGATCGACGACACGCACATCGCGGAGGATAAAGACTCTGTGGTGTGCTACGATGTGGAGTACTCCATTCCCGCTGAGGAGGAGGCTAACGACGAGGACGACGGTGTCTACGTCATCGAGTACTCAAACCCCGAAGAGGAGGGAGAGAGCTACCAGTTCACCATGTCTGTGGATCAACCACTGCCCACCAAAAAGCAGATAGTTACACATGCTGCGGCGAGAGAGAGCGTGATGTCCAAACCCTCCAGACCTCAGAGGGTGCGGCGGAAGAGGGACCAAGAGGAGGAGGAGGAGGAGGAGGAGCAGGTGGTGAGTAATAAGTGTTTGCTTGAGCTTGGGGAGGACTACAGGGACATTATGAGGATGAACTCTGATAAAGAGCAGCTGGTGTGCAAGCTCTGCCCGCCACCTGGACGCTTTTTCAAGAAACCTGCCGGTCTGGCCGTGCATCTGAAACACACGCACCAGTTTGGGGGGAAGACGTTCTTCTGCACCACCTGCCAGCGGTCGGTCCGCACTCAGTTGGATCTGGATTCACACACCAAACGCCACGCCAATCAGGAAGCCGTGTTCACCTGCCTGCTCTGCAAGGCGCAGGAGGGCAAGGCGGGGTACACAGGGGCCAAGCCCGGTCTGAGGAGACACCTGGAGCAGGAGCACCCGGGCGTCGTGCCGCGTTGCGACATCTGCAACAAAGGCTTCCTGTCGCTCACGTCCTACCTGGCCGATCAGTTCAGGCACGTCGGAGTGTCGCCGTACTACTGCGCCCGCTGTCAGATCTACGAGATGACGGAGCGGGGTCTGAGTGTCCACATCAGGAACGACAACATAAGGGAGAAGAAGCTGCAGGAGTCTCAGAACAACCTGCTGGAGCCTGAAAGCAACCTGAGGGAACTCGGAGTCTCCGTCAGCGACGATAACTCCGCCACAGACGACTCTGACTTCTGACTCTATTTGTTTTATTTCCCTCAGTGTTTGAGGACTAAAGCAGCTAGGGATGTCCCGATCACCTTCTTTTGCTCCCGATCCGATTCCGATCATTTGATTTTGACAATTTGCCGATACCGATTTTTCCCGATCCGATCTTTATGCAATGCATTAA